GTACAGGATTACTGCAGTTGAGCAAAACACTTAATACCAATGCTCATCAGTTTACTTCTCTGTGTTACTGGGCCTACATTATTTATAAAACATTTTTTTCTAAGACTAAAATACATGTCAAAAAGGTTAAATAAAACTAGTCAAACAATCATAATAATAATGCATATTGTTACTATAAATGATGTCTGGTTGAATTATGGGCCAAAAATAACTGAACCATTTAAAGTGCAGATGACAGGTTAGACTACACCTATCTCTAAAATGCATTTAACGTCATTATATTTAACATTTCTGTGTTTTCATTTTGGTTTATAATGTCCTCCCTGGTTGGGAAGACAGCAGATGTGACATGAGTAAAGGTAATTCCATTTTATGTAGCAATCATAATGTAGGAAAATGTAAAAGACCAAAACTAAATATTTGATTAGACAAAAAGGAAAACAACACCTTTATTTTGAGAACGTCCTGCATGTTTTTTTTTTTGTTTTTTTTTACAAACTGCCCCTGAACTGATGTAAAACTACAATGAATATTTATTAATATTTACCACAAGTACTATCCCATCAAACCAAGTAAAAAAAAAACAAAAAAAAAAAACTATCATATGGACTTTTTCATGTGGACTTTCTGTGCACAGGTCTGGTCGTACCTTCTCCTACCTCCTGTCTGAGCCCAGTTTGATGGCAGGTCCGGGGAAGCCCTACCATGACTGGGTCGGCTCAGACCATGCGGACGACCTGCAGTTTGTGTTCGGAAAGCCCTTCACCACCCCCAAAGCCTACGCCGACAGACACCGCGCCCTGTCTGCCTACTTCATTGCCTACTGGACCAACTTCGCCAGAACTGGGTCAGACTGGCTTACTGTTTTTTTTGTATTGTTTTTTGTTTTGACCAACCATTACTTAAATTGTGATTTCAGAACATGTTTTAGTTTGAACTTTTGCATGTAACTTTTGCATAGTTCTCCAATCTCAACCTACTTTAAAGGTACAGTATGTAACTTTCTGAAAGTGAACGATACTTTGGAACATTCTCCATGGAGATAAGTATGTTTTATGCTGTACTGTGGAATATTAAAGCCATAGGAACAATGTTTCCATAGAATTAAGCAGAGGAGGGTCATCAGGTTTGTGGAGTTGCAAGCCACACAGTATGGAAGCATGTTTCTCTACATTCTCAGTGCAATAAACATGACCAAAATGAAAAACATGCTTTAGTTTTAGTCAATGTTTTGGCTAAAACTACTGATCATGCACCATGACAGGGAATCCAGTGTCTAAGATAGTGTCAGGTAGTTGGTTTCCCATAATTCTTAGAAACAATGTGCCTGATTGGAAGAAAAGAGATGGTCAATAATGTAGCTTCTGTATTAGTTACTACCTGAGAAAATGTTAATGTAAAACGCACAGATTATACATGGCAGTCTCAAACACAGGTACAGGTCCTTTAATTGACTCTTTTGATTGTTAAGCTCAGTAAAGCTGCACTATGTAACTTCTCTGGAGAAGGGTCAGACATCTACATAGATCCATGGATGTGTTTTTGCTTTGACTAAAACATTACACAGTATATGCCATAAAACATATATACTAGTATATGAAGACAAGCAGAAGCTGGTACCAAGTCAAGTTACAGGTCAGATCTGTGGATAGGCGAGGCCACTCACAATAAGAATGAACATTTTTCAAGGGATGTTTGAGTAATGTAAACCCCTGCAATTGAATAAATAAAAATAAGTTTAAGTTTAATGCCAGACTGTGGAACATTCTAGGCAAAGCAATAACATCTCCATGGAGGCAAGCAGGTAGTGGAATTCTGCCAGAAAAGTTACACAGTACAGTTTGAAACTTACAGGTAATCATAGTTTTATATACACTAAGGTTAGTAGTCTGACATGGAGTGCATAGTCTTTAGTTGAAGTATAAATAAATGATTGTTGTTGTGGTTGTTTTGGTTAGACACAAGTGTATGATTCATGCAGCTTTTTGTATCACCTCCAGGGGGCAGTGTACAAAAGGTTGTAAGACATTATCCATGGCCTTCTAGTGCTAGAGATTTTGGACCATACTTTTCATACATTCACACATGTTTAATGCACAAATACCGCATATTTAACTGTGTACTTCTCACAAACTAACACTAAGTAACTAACTCTATTCCACCTCGTGATGTCAAGTGATAACACAGGAAGTGTCCATACACCTACTGTACAATCATTTGGATAATCTTAGCTCTGGAATTGTCAATCTCAGGTAGACACAAGTTTAAAGGTATCTTTAGGTAGTTAACTTGAAAACTTCATGGGAAAAGGAGAAATTCTATGTGTCAACTGGACAAAAGTTTATTTTGGTCAAATATGTTTTGCAGCTCATCCAAGCGGCTTCTTCATTTCTGAGAATTCGACCAAAATAAACTTTTGTTCAGTTGACAAAAAATGTATTTCTTCTTTTGCCATGGATTCTACAAGCCTGATTCATCAGTCGGTTTCACTTCATAGAAACCGTCTGACCTCGCAGTGTTAGGATTCGTTGGCTCGACAGTAAGCGTATACTTTTTTTTTCATTTAACCAATTGCTGCTGTTTGGTCGTGACGTATGTAATGCACCGCTAACGGGATAACTGGTATATTAAGATTTTCCCAAATCCTGTAGGAAGAAGCGCAACATCTTTCCCCTTGATAAAATTTATCAAACATTTTCTTTGTTCCAGTTTCAAATCCTTGATCTTGGGAATTGTTGCCAACACAGAATGTGTGGCTCTTCGCTGATTGGCTGGTGCCTGAACTCACACTTCCAGGGTTTTTACAAACCATCTAGTGTATTTTGATTCCTGACCTAGTCACTGGAGAGAAATGAAATTGAGTGGAGGCACTAGGTGGCACCAGCCTGGCTAAGATTCTACCTGGACGACTGGGGGATTGTACACACATGTTGAAAACTTCATGCCATCAGAAGGTGGAACAGAGCATGTTGAGCTCTGGAGATGTAGACAGACTAACAATAAAGTGGTACTCAAACGTGTGAAAGAAACAAAACACAACTCTAGGTATTTTTTTGATGACATAACAACTTTGTAACATGACTTAAAGCTCATAGTCTTGTGTAACAGAGAACTTTTAACTATAGAACTACCACTACAGAAAAAAGATACAAAAAAACATATGGTCTGTTATACATATTTATTATTGGTCTGAGCAAGTATTAACTATTGGTATGTTTTGTCTTTTTGTCGACAGAGACCCTAACGTGGGCCCGTCGGCGGTGCCTGTGAGCTGGCCGCAGATGGACATGTCCTCACAGCAGTATCTGAACATCACATCTGACATGAACGACAACTCCACTTCCCAGAAGATGAGGCTGCGCTTTGTCCAACTGTGGACCCAGGCCATCCCCAGTCTGCCCTAAGCCCCCCATAACTCCTCCTACTGCTCCTCCCATAAAACCCACCCATACATCCTTGTGTTGTCACATTACAAACTGGATTTCAATACTAAGGAAGAGACTCGACCCTCAATAGAGACTCTGATACTACAATGATAATAAAAAACACACTTTATTTAAACAATGGAATGTGATTTTCAGCATTAAATTGAAGTACTTTCTTTTATATTACCATGTGCACTTATTTCTGTGTAATCCCTCAGTCATACAGACCCATACACTGCTGTAGACTGATATTTAAAGGTGTACTATGTAACATTTCTAATACTCCACCACCTGCTTGTCTCCATATTGCTTTGTATGCAGGTTTGGAATGGCTTTAAACATCTTTATAAAGCTGTATTTAATAACTTTGGCTCATAAATACCATAAAAAACATGTATTGTACTGTGAGCGGGTCACCTCTCCACGGATCTGACCTGTAACTTGCTTCTCAATGATAGATACATTTATTGGCTCTGACTGGAGGAACATTCTGCTTTAGTGCAGCTGCAGGAGGGCGCGGGGCCAGCTGGGGTAGAGACATGTCACAGCAGATTTGTTATTGATCTATGATGTAGAAGAGCTGGTTAAAATGTGATGGAGATGTTAAGAAAATACTCTCACCCTCTTTTTGTCCAAATGTGTCTCTTGAGGTTCTTTTGTCTGTCTCGAGGACACTTTTCACAGCACTATGAACACTAGTTAAGCCTCGGTGCTGTGGATACCAGTCTCTGAGCACACAAAAGCACAGAGAATTACCTGCAACTGAACCCTGCTCTTTTGTGCCAACTGTTGCTATCGGTGACCACCATAGACTCTATAAAGAAGTGGACTAGAGGAGTGTGACATCACCCACAGTGTTGAGCTCCAGTCAAATGAAGCTCACGAGGCTAGCAGTTATAATGTTTGATCCTGTAAAGTAGAGGTGGGAGATTGAAAAATGGACAATATTATAATTGCTGTTCTTGAAAGATCTGGAAATGTGAGTAGACTGTTCATAATTAAATGATAGGTCTACAAACATAGGCCGACATGGAGAGTTGGCAAAGGACAAATTCAAGACGACTTGGTGCTCTGCGCTGTGCGTAATGGGTAGCCACGGTACTGTGCCTATCTATTGATTGATCTGCTGCATTCAGCACCTTAGACAGCGAGAGACGTAAAATATGACGTGTCAGATTATCGACACAACAGCCGGTCTCAGTTCTGAGCTATAAACCAAAAACTGTCAGAAAACTGGCATGTCGAGGTAGAGGCATGTCGTAATACAGGGAAGTCTAAATATTGGGATGTCGTAATGAAGGGATGTCAGAATAGGCGGTGGACCCCAACCAGGTCTCTGTACTCCTCTACACGTTTATTTACGACAGCATGAGCTCTGTGGAGAGTCTGTGGAGATGTGTGTGCTACACGAGGCTGTTAATGTCACTATCATGATCCTACTGCAAGAAAATCCTCTGTTCTTCTTTTGGCGTAGGACAGTTTCTACAGTCCGTCCTGATCCTGATGTTCAGGCAGTCGTGGTCGTGGCTACAGGCTCATGGCTGTAGGTTTAAAGTTAATCTATGAGGTGTAGTTATGCAGGTAACATTCACAGTAAACTGAGCAGATCAGTGGAGGGTAAGGCTCTTACAGAGAGTCAAATGTAGGATACATAATGTGAATTCTCCTGTGGAATAGTCCGTGTGTAAATGTGAGGTACATGAGTGCAGTAGAGGTAAGTGCAGTGGGCGTGGCCTCTGTCAGGTGCGCTCTCTGCAGTCTCCACAGCCTCGTCTCTACCCGGCAGTGCGCGCTCTGACCTCGGCTCGGAGCAGGATGGTGCAGGCGGTGCCCGCGGGCAGAGTGGCGGCTGCGCTCGGCCTGGCGGTGTCTGTCATGTTCGTGTCCCACGGCGGGCCTCTGGTGGACGCTGACAACAGCGGGGAGTTGTCCTGGGTGAGCAGCGGGCTCCAGGGCGCAGCAGGGCGGACTGCGCTGTGCCTCTGTGCCGTGGCGTGTCTCCTAGTGCTGGGATGGCTCTACCGCCTGCTCTTCAGCCCGCTGGAGCTGCTCAGGACCCCGGACCAAGTGGGATACATCGTGCCAGAGGGGCGCTCCAGAGCCCAGGCCGTGAACGACGTCCGGCGGCGGAGACAGACCGGGGAGCTGCCGCCTGTGTATCCCAACGGCTGGTACCGCGTCCTGGACTCGCACCTGCTGCTCCGCGGGGACGTGCGCAGCCTCACGGTGCTCGGTAAGTTCGCTGATTTCACGGTAATACACATGTACAATACAAACTTTTATTGACACAGACGCACACAGCTTTGATGCTGATGATATTACATGTTGTCATTGTGTTTTAGGCTAAATCATTGTGAGGTTAATACAGGCCACATGCACCTGCAGCCAGAGCAGAGTTAAATCCAGGATACAGAGTCTGCAGACTCTCAATAGACTCCAGATGGAGACACTTGGACATTTCTCCTCACAGGACATTACAGCTACTATGATGTGTAGTTAAATAGGACAGTTGAACCCTTTGCAATTTGCAAACCATATTTTCCATTAGTCAAGCCTACTCTATAAACTTAATGAGGTGATGACACTTTGTATCAGCTCTTGTCTTACTTCATTATCTATTAAAGGTCATTCAGTTTGATCAAGCTCAGGTCAAATAGTTTGGAGCAAAACACTTCACAGACTTTTAATCACCAACAGATTTCATTTGAAGTAAACCAGCTTTATGTGTCTTTGTGTGTCTCTGCTCTAGTTCTAGTCTGCTCATGTGTGGGTGAACTGGCAGTTTAAAATAGATCTGTATCTGATAAAAACAATAAACAAAACAAATCTCTCTCTCTCTCTCTCTCTCTCTCTCTCTCTCTCTCTCTCTCTCTCTCTCTCTCTCTCTCTCTCTCTCTCTCTCTCTCTCTCTCTCTCTCTCTCTATATATATATATATATATATATATATATATATATATATATATATACATGTACAAGGGCATGAATAGCAAAGGCATATTAGATGTAGTTTGTCCGTGTGTGTTGCCGTAAGCCCTGTGTCTGGATCAGACAGAGCGAGCAGGCAGGAAACTTTGGTGGTGATAGGTTGGGTCGTCTGGGTGCAGGTCTGTGGATTGGGTCGTCTGAGTGCAGGTCTGTGGATTGGGTCGTCTGAGTGCAGGTCTGTGGATTGGGTCGTCTGGGTGCAGGTCTGTGGATTGGGTCGTCTGGGTGCAGGTCTGTGGATTGGGTCGTCTGAGTGCAGGTCTGTGGATTGGGTGGTCTGTGGAGTGGCAGGTCTGTGGATTGGGTCCTCTGGGTGCAGGTCTGTGGATTGGGTCCTCTGGGTGCAGGTCTGTGGATTGGGTCGTCTGGTGCAGTCTGTGGATTGGGTCGTCTGGTGCAGGTCTGTGGATTGGGTCGTCTGGGTGCAGGTCTGTGGATTGGGTCGTCTGGGTGCAGGTCTGTGGATTGGGTCGTCTGGGTGCAGGTCTGTGGATTGGGTCCTCTGGGTGCAGGTCTGTGGATTGGGTCCTCTGGGTGCAGGTCTGTGGATTGGGTCCTCTGGGTGCAGGTCTGTGGATTGGGTCATCTGGGTGCAGGTCTGTGGATTGGGTCATCTGGGTGCAGGTCTGTGGCCATAGAGTGCCAGTGTTTACGCTGTTGCCTATAAGCTGTGTCTAACTGAAGCTTTTGGAATTTGCTCTAATGAAAGACTGATAAAGGAAAATGAATGATGGATCTGTGGGTGTAAACAACAGTCTCTATTCACACTTGTGTCATAAACCAGGAAAACATTTGGAAACATCCAGTGACAACCTCCGGCAGACTTTGTTCGCAGTACTAAGTTTGACAAAATCTAGGAAAAATTAGAACATGTCCATATTTTCTTCATCTACTTGTTTTCATCATTTCCACACTGACACACAACTCCAAACTCTGAACGAGTACATGTGATTAGAAGAGATGAGGCGCCAATAAAGTTGTTGAGGACACTAATACATTTTTTTATTTGTCAACTTAATTATTTACCATTAATTAATAAAAAGTGATTTGTATTGAACTTAATGTACATTGAGTTTTAAAACCAGACTGTAAAAATACATGCTAAAATAAACAATAAATTTATGAGTGTATTATATATAGTAGGCTATAGTCTGAGTAGTAGTAGTAGTAGTAGTAGTAGTAGTAGTAGTAGTAGTAGTAGTATCAGGACAGGAAGTAGGCTATAATAAACAGTTGAGTACAGCAATATATTATTATTTGAATTAGTAAAGAGTTATTTGTATTGTACATTGAGTTTTTTTGAAATACATTTGAGCCATATTGAGTTAAATAAAGTGCTGAGTTAAAGGTGCACTGTGGAACTTTTCATATGTTGGGTCTGCCACCTGCTTGTCTCCATGGCGATATTACTATTTTGCCTTAATTTTTGCACAATATGGAACTAAAGTTGGTATTCCTAATGAAAACCACTTCAGATTTATGGGTAAAAAAGGATCAGAATTCATGTTTTTAAGGTATTTTTGGATAAATGCAAAGCAAATACTGTATGTTTAATGCCCCACTGCGGAACATTCCATTCAAAGAAACAACATTTCCATGGAGACACGCAAGTAACAAACCCTCCACTTTAGCAGTTACATAAGTGTTTGCAGATATTCAGTATCAGACAGTAATCAGATCCTAATGGTCTGCTCATAAATGAGGCCAGTGACCTTTAATTTCAAACTTGAAGTCACATTAAGGGCTCTGTTAGGTTAAGACTATATTTAAACAGATTAAAGCTGCAATGGGAGTGGAAATACAAAAATAAAATTATCAAACTATCTTAAATACAAGAGGAAAAACCTGTTTAGTTCAGAACAGGAAGTGGAGTGTAGCAGTGGCGCGGGCATGCCAGGACCGGGTCACCCTAGGCCATCCGACTGGCATCATAAAACTGGGCCTTTCCGTATAGAGTCCAGGTTAAACTTTAACTCGAGGATATTGATTGTGTGTCTGTCCGGCGCAGATACAGAGATTGTGTTGGAGGTGCCGCTGCAGGTCGTGTTGTGGATACTCGAGGCGACTCACTGGTCAGACAATAGAAAATAGCATTAGGTGAAACTCAAAACTGTTGGTTTGTTAACTCAACATTGTAGAATTTGTTTGTCGTGTTGCCAGAGGTAACCACAGTGGTCACTGTGGCTCACAGAATCAACAGCACACCTGCTTGTTGTCTGTTTTTTAGGAAAATTGTAACATTAAAAAAAAAAAAAAATCTAATTCAAATTGATCACATCAATACTTCAGTTTGTGGTGTTGTTTTAATATTTCTTATACCTCAAGTTTAGCGTGAGTGTTGGCATTGAGACACAAACACTGAATCTGTGTATCATTGGTTCATTCATTTTTCAATATAAAACCAAAAACAAGTGCAGTCAGAGACATCAACCTGGTCCCATGAGGCATCGGTGAGTCAGTTCATCATACATATACAATAACAGAAACAGTTTATGAGACAGAAACAGTCCAGCCCATATCACATGATCATTATATCCACAGTGTAATGTGTGTCTGTGTACAGGCCCATGAACATTTGTGTGATGTTGGTCACACATGAGAATGTCTGTGTTTACTAGTGTGGAACCAAAATATCATTTTTCATGAGTTGTGTATATTTATTATAGTTTGTTGTGTGACTGTAGATCAGTGTGTTGTGTGTCACCAGAAAAACAAGAAATGGAAATTCATTCCAATTAGAATTTTAACAGCTACAGTGAAAGAGAAACGAACTTTTATAATTAGTGATTATCTTGAAAACTATTCATATTTTACTATACAAATGCAGAGAATTATACATAGATAACAGGGGCTTGACCCACATACCAAATTTGGTGACAATCGGTCCATAAATGTTGGAATTATCGCAGGTGGACAGATATACAGACACACACACATACAGGGGGATTACAAAACCTGGTCAACCCTTCAGGGACCAGGTAAGAAAATGAAAAAAACAAAACAAAACAAAAAAACAACAACAAAAAAACAAAAACGTTTTCTTCATTATTTGTCTCAAATTTGGCTTAAATGAAAAATTTTCGTGACTTCAACTGTGGTGCCGGACTTTTGCGCCTCATACAGACTGAACCAGGACTGAACCAAGACTGAACCAGGACTGAACTGTTTTCAGTCCTGGTCTGGTGCCGGTGTCAGTCCCAGTCTGGCCCCATTCTGGTCCCAGTCTGGTCCCGGTCTGGTCCCGGTCTCAGTCCCGGTCTCCAACACAGTCTGGTCCTGGTCTGGTCCTGGCCTCAGTCCTTTTCTTAGTCCTGGTCCTGTTCCCAGTCTCAGTTCTGGCCTCAGTCCTGGTCTGGTCCCGGTCTAAGTCCTGGTCTCAGTCCCGATCTGGTTCCGGTCTGGCTGCACCTGGTTCAGTCCTGGTTCAGTCCGGCATCACAGTTTAGTTTTTTCCATTTTGGTTTGGACAAAACAGTTGTTTTTTGTTTTCTTATTTTTGGTTTTACATAAAAAAATGAATGATACGCAGATTCTGCTGAAGAATTCATTTTATTCATGTAGTTTTTAACATGTTGTCAGTCACTTGCA